ATCTGACCAAGGCATGGAAACCCAGCTTCAGACAAGTTTTGGCTCAGAAGGAATATGAAGATTTTTGTTTCCCATTTGAAAATTGAAAGTAAATGAAGCAAATCCACTTTCTCTGAACCAAAATTTGAGCAGAAAACCACTACAGTTAGCATGGTATGGACTTTTCAGTCAAGCAAAGCCATGTTCAAATCCCACTCATCACTTATAAGCCAGTGACCCAGATGAGTAACTTGTCTGAGCCTCATTTCCTTACCTATAAGACTGAAGACAGTGATGGCTCATTGGCCAGGCTGTGATGGTTAAGTGAGCAATAAGTAAAGCTTCTCAAATGACGCTTAGCACCTGACAGTTGATCAACAGCAAATATTTATTGCTCGCCTACTATACATTATAAACCAAATAAGCCAGGTGCTGGATTAATGTGACTCACTCAAATAATTTCATTCCCATTCACTGTACGATTGTTAAAGATAGGCTTTTTATCTTCCAGTTTCCAGGACCTCTCTGGAAAAGAGGATTGTCATTCTTTGGATCTGGATAAGTCATATTTTCCACTCCCGACAAGCCTGGCTTGTCCAGATTCCATTAGAGTAACTGAAAGTCCAGTGTTTCCCATTTCAAATGACCTTTTCATTTGAATGATCCCTATAAGTACCCTTGCACTTGTCATCAACCATGTATCTATCCATGCAACCGATATGTGTTAAGCACTTTCTGTGGACCAGACAAATGTTAAGCTTGGAGTGGAGACCCAGACCCAGTGCTTCCCTCATGGGCATCCTTTTAGCTCTGGAAGCATGGCCCATGGGAACTGTATCCCAGGTATTAGCCCTGTTGCAGCACCAGCATCATGAAGAGAACACTGCAGTTCATCTCTCTAAATCCCAGTTTGCAATTCTTGGAATCTGCAGAGTGCTGATGTCACTGCACAGCCTGAGCAACTTGAGAATGAAAGACAACCAGTCATGTGACAACAATCATGTAACTGAGCTAAACACACTCCAGCCTTTAGCTACTGAAACATCTTAAATACACTTATTTTCAACTCAGTATTTGAGCGTCTGGCTGGGGTTTTTCCTCACGTAACCACTAGGGGGCATTTAATCTCTAACTATATTTTGCAATAGATTCACCAATAGTGTTGAGTAAGACATCATCAGTACTGTGGGGTGGGGGTGGGAGGTGGGTAATATAGGTGGAGTCCTTATTAGGTGAAATTCCAGTAGATCTGTACTGAAAATAGGATGAACAGAGTGAATTCAAGCATCATTCTGAAAAGGTAGTGAGTTATTTATCACTCCTCAAATGTATGTATGTAGGCAGTTCATACCACTAAGAAAGAGGATAACCCAGTTTTTATTGCATGCCTACTAAGTGTAAGACACTGAGCTAAAAATCTCCACCTTCATCATCGTATCTACCTACCACAACTGTCCTGATATAGGTTTTGTTTTTAATCCTTATTTTATAAATGAGAAGATCAGAGAGGTTATTATGACCAATCATACCTCTAGCAAGCAGCAGAGACTCTGAGTCCAAGTCAGTCTGGCTTCAAAGCCTACCTCCTTTTCTTCCATTTAGCTCACCTGGTTGTGATGTTCTGACTCCCCTGAAATTGTTTCCTCAATTCCCATTACTGTAACTCTCCAAATTCTCATATTACCCTGGGATTTGAGTGTATCTGTGTATGTGTGTGCATGCACACATAAGAATGCTGTGAATAAACAGGCCTTCAGCTAAGTATTTTCATACTTAGTGACCGTTATGCTATTTGATGAAACAGAATTGAAACTTGACTGAGTATAACTTATACCCTCTACATGTTTTTTTCTGTCTTGTAGGATCAACACTTTACCCTGTGTCTAGTACATAGTAGACAATTAATAGATGTTAGATAAATTCATAAATAGATAAGTAAACATAGCTCTAAAGAAGACCCCAGAAGGCAACAGTGGGAGCTTCTTGCATCTGGAAGCTTCCTGAAACCTATGGAGAGAATGTGAGATTCTCTTCAGAGGGAGTGAAGGGGGCCTGATTTCATAGGATTTACTCAGCCTGCCCTAGGGACCATGAGCCAATCCTAAGGATTATAGATCCCAACCTATTTACAAAGCTCCTTGGACCTACCAGCCCAAAGCAGATTTACCTCAAACTCCTAAGAAAAAGGCCCAGTCCAAGCAAGCCCTGGCTATGAACTTCCCCCTTAGCGTTACGTTTACTGTATCCCATAAATTTTGTAAGTCTGTGTCATCTTTGTCACTCAATTCAAAATTTTTTTTAAATTTCCATATTGATTGCATCATTAACCCAAGGGTTGTTTAGCAGCAAGTTGTTTAATTTCCATGTATTTATGGATTTTTAAGAGGAACCCATAGAATTGATTTCTAGTTTTATTCCACTGTGGTCTAAGAAGATACAGGATATGATTTTAATTTTTCTAAATTTTCTAGGACTTGTTTTGTAGTCTAACACACGATCTATCTTGGAAACTGTCCCATGTACTGATAAGAAGAATGTATATTCTGCATTTTTTGGATAGAATGTTCTGTAAATGTCTGTTAGGTTCATTTGTCCTAGAGTCTTGTTTAAGTCCATTGTTTCTTCGTTAATCTTCTGTCTTGTGATGTGTCTAGTTCTGTCAGTTGAAGACCCAGCTATTATGACCTTGCTGTTTATTTCTTTCCTTAGATCTAGTAGTATTTGTTTTATAAATCTGGGAGTTCTAGTGTTAGGTGCATAACTATTTAGGATTGTTATATCTTCTTGTAAAATTTCTCCCTTTATCATAATATAGTGACCATTTTTGTCTTTTTTTTCACTATTGTTGATTTAAAGACTATTTTATCTGTTATAATAATAGCTACTTCTACTCATTTTTGGCTTCCATTTCCATGGAATATTTTTTCCCACTCCTTTACCTTTAGTCTATGAGAATCTTTGTGAGTGAAATAGGTTTCTTGGAGACAGCATACATTAGGTTGTGCTTTTTAACCATTTCACCAGTCTACATCTTTTAAATGAGGGCATGAAGACCGTTTATATTCAATGTCATTAATAGTATTGATATATGAGATATTGTTCTGGTCATCATTTTGAGTGTTACCTAGTTACTTTGTTCTCTCCCTTGTGTTACTGTTTTATAAGAACTGTGAGCTTTAACTTTGGGGTGTTTTTACACTGGTGGGCATTGATTATTGTGTTCCATGTATAGAACACTTTTAAGCATTTATGGTAGGGTAGACCTAGTGGTGACAAATTCCCTTAGTATTTGCTTATCTGAGACAGACTATTTCTACTTCATTTATGAAACTTAGTTTTGTAGGATATAAAATTCTCGGCTAGTAGTTCTTCTGTTTAAGGAGTCTAAAGATAGGACCTTATTCCTTCTTGGCTTATAAGGTTTCTGTGGAGAAGTCTACTAGTAGTCTGATGGGTTTTCTTTTGTAAGTTACTTGATGTTTTCATCTCACAGGTCATAGGAGTTCCTCTTTCAGATTGACTTTGTCCAGTCTGATATAATAATAATAATAATAACCCCATATTTCTCATATACTGTGTTTATTCACCTTGATTCTTTGTTCTTTATTTTTTTACTAACTTAGTTAATTTGAAAGACCTGTCTTCAAGTTCTGAAATTCTTTCTTCTGCTTGCTTGAGTCTATTCTTAAAACTTTCCACTGTGTTTTGGATTTCCCTAAATGAATTTTTCATTTCCAGAAGTTGAATTTGTTTTTTTTTTAAATATGTCTATCTCTTTAGTAAGGTTTTCATTTATTTCCTGAATTATTTTTCTGGTTTCTTTGAGTTGGGAGTTGGTTTTCCATCTTCTCTTGGATATCATTGAGCTTTCTTACAGTTCCGTATTTGGAATTCTTTATCTGCCATTTCAGCAGTTTCATTTTTGTTGGGATCCATTACTAGAGAGCTCGTGTGATTCTTTGTGGGGAGGGGGAGCAGTCCTTTCACTCTGATTTTTCATAGTTTTGGAGTTTTTGAGCTGATTCCTTCTTATCTGGAGAAACTGTTGCTTCTTGTTTTTGGATTTTTCTTTTGTTTGGATGGGACATTTTTAGCCCTCCCTCTTAAGGGTGTGCCAGGAGCGTATGTTAGGTAAAGACATTTGACTCATCCTTTTATCAGGAACCCAACCTGCAATAACTAACCCACTTAATCCATTCATGATGGCTCTGCCATGAGGTGAATTGAATTAATCCATTCAATCACCTCTCAAAGGTTCCATGGAAACACCATTGCATTGGGGATTAAATTTTCAGCACATGAACTTTAGTGAACACATCCAAACCATAGCACATTATTCACCAGAACTTTGTTATTGCTATCCTCTGAAATTATGTCAAAAGAAAAAGAGAAAAGAGAACCCATAATCACACTACCCTCAAGTAACGACTCTTAACATTTTAGTGTACTTCAGTGTTTCCTTGTGGGTATAAATGTGTATAAATGTGGGTATAAAAGAGTTGTGATCATACCCAATATATAATTTTATCATGTTTTCCCCCTTACCATTATAAGTATTTTTAATGTTTCTACACAGTCTTTATAACCATCATTGTTAATAGCTACATCATAGTTCACTGAATTAAAGTGTTTTAGTTGGTTAACTATCCTGTTATCTTTAAACAATTTCTAATTTATTTTTACAATAATATGCACATCTTTGTGATTATAGTATTTTTTTTTCACACCTTGAACTCTTACACCAAGTTAAAATTACTTGGCCAAAACGACTTTTTTGTTTTTAGTTTCTTGACATGTATTTCCAAATACATTTTTTTTAAAAGAGTGCATCATCAGTTTACTCTGCTACTGGTATACATGAGGATCATTTTATCATTGTTACCTTGAGAGCACAGCTTTGAAAGGTGGGGATATGGGACCAGAAGAAACACAGCCCTGCACCAAAGCCTGGGCCACACATTCTGTAAAGTGCCCTGGTCCTCACTGATATCCTGGTGTTATGTTGCTATGTTTTCTTCCAGACTGAGCAGTTGATAACTCTGTGGGTCCTCTTTGTTTTCACCATTGTTGGAAACTCTGTCGTGCTGTTCTCCACATGGAGGAGGAAGAGGAAGTCAAGAATGACCTTCTTTGTGACTCAGCTGGCCATCACAGGTAGGTCACTGAAAGAGGAGGAAGCTGTGCCCCGGTTCCTATGACTTCCTGCTTTGAATTATTTTACCAATAGAAATGTAACACAAGCAGTCCAAAGGCAGGAGCAAATTTGGGAATAGTTTCTATAGGGATATAAAACTCCTGTTTGAATATTTCCTCTGGCATATTTAACATATCTCAATGTCTGCAAGGTTCCATTATAAAAATAATTCACTACACTGATGGAAATACCATTATCAGCACCACCACCGGGTTCTATATGGTTTCACTCTTAACCACAGCAAGCTCCATAGTTCACTAAGGTGACATTTCTATATCATCCCATATTATGTGCTTAAAGAATACATGGGAGAAAATGCACCGGAATTATTTCTACTCAATAATAAATGTGAAATCTCAAATACTTTGCAGATTAAAGCCTGCAAACATTGCTTTTGAAATGCAAATGATGTGTAACACCACTGCTAGGGTAGTATAATGAAATAAAATACTCTCCAGGATGAGGATCCTTAAATGTGGGCTTTGGAAATGACCATTTCAGGAATGTGAGCACAACACACCTAGAAAAGGAAAGGTGGAAATCTTCCCCAGAAAGAAAATGATCTGAGAAAGATAGACTCCCCCAGGAATGGGTAGAGGCCAAATTGATAGAGCTCATGTTCAAGAGGAAAAGGAAAATACAACCATGGGAAGAGTCCTGTTCTATGGGCCAGAGAAGAAAGGGGGCAAATGGGATTCACAGATGGTCCTGCATAAGCCAGGCTTGGCGTCCTGAGCTCTGGGAGCAAGATGGACTCCGATATTACTTTAATTTGGATCAAACCATAGGAAAAATGAAAAAAAAATTTTAAAAGTGTTAAGTGCCTACAAAGAGAGATAGTAGATGACTTTCAGAAAGGGCTGTTTGGTGCATTTCAACCTGTACTATCATCTCATTTGCAGTAATGACAGTGCCATTCTTGGGAAGTTAGTCTTGAGCCACAATATGAAAAAATATGACACTGTAACTTACAAGGGAAACTTAGCCATACATTGTTGGTGATATTAATGGAAACAACCCAAACTCTGTGAAATAATTCAAAGAGGTTTATTCAGAGTTGAGTGTGTGGTGTGTGACTGACAAGCCCAGAGCACATGTTCCCAAGAGGTTCTGAGAAAATGTGCCCATGGTAGCTGGTTTACAGTTTGGTTTTATACATTCATGGAGACAGGAATTACATGTAAGATTATATAATAAGTCAATATGTGGAAGGAATTCATTGGTTTAGCCTGAAAAGTGGGCCACCTCCAAGTGGAGGCTTATAGGTTATAGGTGAATTTAAAGATTCTTTGATGTATATTAATAATTGGTTAAAGAAATGAAGCTTTGTCTAAAGGCTTGGAGTGTTTTACATTAAAATAAGGCTGTCTGTTAATCAGAGACAAACCACTGGGGACATTTACCAAAACTCAAGTAACCCATAGTAAACTGATGGCCTACAGGGATGGTTTAAGCTTTGTCTTACATGGCCTTGGGCTTGTTAATGATTTATTAATCATATCTTGTTACAAAGAGTAGCAGAGAGGGAGGAGGCATAATGAGGTCTGTCTGATCTCCCTTCTTTTCACGGCTGGCAACTCAATTTTAAGTCTGGGGTCTCCTTGGCCATGAGGAGGTCCATTCAAGTGGCTGGGAGGGCTTAAGATTTTTAGTGCAGAATAACCTGAAACCCCCCTTTTCCTTTTTAACAAAGTGTAGCAAGCCCATCCTGCGTGAGCTGGGTTGTAGTGCCCAGAGTGAAAATCAAAAGCACCATTGAAAATTATAGGGAAAGTAAGAGGAGGCTGAGTCACACAGGTAGAACTTGTGATGGGGAAAGGCTCCTTTAATCTTTCCTACAAACACGTGCCCCATTTTTTCATTCCTATGATTGTAGGAGTAGAGGATAGTTAGGATTATCCAGCAAATGCTGAGCTGCAAAATCTTTGGATGAGGACATTATAGCTTACTTCTGTGATATTTCTTTGGTTGTAGTGCTATAACCCACACTCTGTGGAACCATATATTCTTTTAGAGTGTAAGGATTTAGAGGTGGCAAGGATATCAGCTTAGAATCTAACGTTTTTGTCACAAATAATTAATAAATGAATAATTGAAATTTTGCCATCTATTATCAGAGAGAAAAATTGTGTGTTCTGTTCTAATTCACAGTCTGCTGTATCAACCTGGGCTTGAGTTCTCATGAATACTCCAGACAGTTTGTTTGTATTTGTTGATTCCTTCTGGAAATCCCAAGGAGTCAGGTCAGAAGCATTTCAAGTGAACAAGAATCTTAGGTGAAAAAAAGCATTACCAAAAGTCTAGGACTGAAGCTCAAGGGTCTGAAATTGAACTCCTTATATATTAATATTAAAATTTCTTCCATACATATTTCACCATGATTGAAGATCCTTTGATAGAAGAGGTAAGAATAACATCTGAGTCTTGAGTTTGTAAACAACAGTTACTCAAGCATTACTGAGGGACCCTATTCTTTGAGATTTATGTAAATTGGGTTTGAGTGCCCTATCCTACATCTGTGTCCTCCTCAAGATGTCCTCAAACTTTCTGGGCCTTATATTCTTATTTATCATTTTAGATTCTTGTTTCCTACCTCCAGTAACTCCGCTGTCTCTCATCTTCTTCCCTAGTTCATCTTTTTTTTTTTGTTCTATGCTACCCCTAACAAGGCACTCAGCCCTCATTTTCTTTATTTTCTTTGAAAGCATCCACAGAAACATTACTTCATATGTTTAAAAAACTTTTCTGAATATTCCAGGCAACATAAACATACTATTTTGTAAATATCGCTCTTCAAATTGATTATTTCATAGTCTCAAACCATTTAGCTTCCACCAGAAATTTCTCAATATTACCTTGCTCCAGCCTTGTGTCTTGTCTTTATTTTCCTACTTTCTCTCTCTTCTAAAGGTTTATTATCCTATGCTAAGAATCTTTTAGTTTTTCTCTGCTTTTTTTGTTTCTTTGTTTTGTTTAGTTTTTATTCCGACCAAACCATGAACTTGGGGACTGAATATATTCCAAAAAACAAATGTCATGCTGTTTTCTTTAACAGAGGAAGTTGCTCCCTAAAATAGAACCCTGGAACCAATAACAATGATAAACAGACAAACAAACATATATGCTTATATTTTTATTTACATGTGCCATGGCTAAATAAACTAGTCTGAATTGTATAAAACTGTAAGATGCACAGTGATAGATTAAGAACTATTATGTGATCAGCTTTCAAAAATTTTAAACTCATTTATTTAAGACCATTACTCCTATCTATAATACAATAATTGGAAAATCTGGACAAAGTGTAAACATCCATTAGAAAGTATCCCATAGCTACCCAAACAGCTAAGACTTGGGGGGCCAAGATGCCACAGAGTAGAAAAATTCAAGAGTTAAATACATTACTTGACGCTACTATGCCCTCAAAGCATTAACTGATTTTAAAGCAGAGACTGGAAGGCTGAAAACCTGAGTAGAGCTTAATGGGGCAACAATTAATCTGCCAAGGCATAATAGCTTTGGTAAAGACTCCTGATTTTCTGTTGGAACTACTGAAGAGCTAGAACCTGCAAGTAAGAGTGAACTGAAAATGGATCATCCCTCACAAAGACTGAAATATAGCTCAAACCCTGAATGGAATCAGATCTACCTCTGCATATACCCAAACTGTCTGCCAGGGCAAAAGTAATTCCTCTTTGGAGGAAGAGTGCATTATCAATAATACCAAATTAGCTATGATTTTTCATGACCAATGCTCAACACTTGATTAAAAAATAACCAGGAATTCAAAAGGATAAGAATTGATCAAAAACAAAAAGAAAAAAGGATGACAGAGTTGCACAAGAGATCCAGCTATTGGAATTATCTGACACAGGATTTGTAAATGTTAACTAATCTGTTTATGAACTGAAAAATGAGATGAAAGATTGAATGTCCTAGAAAGGACTAAAACAAAAAATTTAGAAGTTGAAAATTATCAAGTAACTGAAGCTGAAAATACAATAGTTGAATATAGCAGCAAATTAACATAGCCAAAGAAGAAGTTTGTTGAACTAAAAAATAGATCAGAAGAAAATAATCAGATTGAAGCATAGAAAAACAAAAAGACAGAAAATACAGAAAGAAAATTGGAAGCATTTGGAAACAATAAATAGGACTCCCAGAGGAGATAAGACAGAGTGAACAGAAGCAATATTTAAAGATATAACGGCCAATGATTTTTCCCAAAGTCTTGAAAGATATCAAACCACAAATTCATAAAGCACCATGAAAGGCAGCAGGATTAACAAACAAACAAACAAAGAGAATTAAAACACATGAAGGCCGGGCGCTGTGGCTCACGCCTGTAATCCTAGCTCTTGGGAGGCCGAGGCGGGCGGATTGCTCAAGGTCAGGAGTTCAAAACCAGCCTGAGCAAGAGCGAGACCCCGTCTCTACTATAAAATAGAAAGAAATTAATTGGCCAACTGATGTATATAAAAAATTAGCCGGGCATGGTGGCGCATGCCTGTAGTCCCAGCTACTCGGGAGGCTGAGGCAGGAGGATCGCTTGAGCCCAGGAGTTTGAGGTTGCTGTGAGCTAGGCTGACGCCAAGGCACTCACTCTAGCCTGGACAACAAAGTGAGACTCTGTCTCAAAAAAAAAAAAATAAATAAAAAAAAAAAATAAATAAATAAAACACATGAAAATGATGAAATTAATTAAAATCTCCATAATATTGAATTTGAAATTGAAGTATCTATCTATATTAACTCACAGTTATGCATAAAAGGAATCTTTATCTTTTAAAGACATATACGGAAATGTTTGCAAGTAAATTGATAACATGTTTTGGGTTTACTTCAAAATAATTTGAGGGTGGAGAAAGGTAGAGATATGGATGTAACAAAATTGATATTGATAATTGTTGGAGCTCGGTGGTAAGTACATTGTGTTCTTTATATTTCTTTTAAAAAAAAT